CCGTCTGTGTCCTTTTCCACCCTGTTACCTTGCCTTGCTGGGTGGCACGAAAACTCAAAGCTTTAGCCACATATTGCAAACAGCAGCAGGAGAAGCTGGTTCCTAAAAGGAGTCAGACAAGCATCAAAGGAGCAAAAGGAAGAACCTGGCTTACTGAAGCTGGGAACAGACCTACTTTTTACTCCTTGAAACCAGAAGAGGAAGAGAAACCAGAGCCAATCAGGGAGAAAACTCAATGGGATCTATGACAATTCACTGCAGCCAGCGACCAACTTGTCATCTCTCCAGAGCCAACTTGCCACGGCCAACTCATTGTGGGACAATTCGCCATGACCACCTCTCTGCAGGACAACTCTCTGCAGAACAAGAGTTACACTAATATGAAAGAAATGGTGGAATAGAATCATTAAAGAAAGGATTCAAAAGGAGGGGCAAAATGAATCTGAACGATGAGCATTAAAACATTTTTTTATTTATTATAAATAATTAAATTGAATTGTTAAATTGTCTCATTGCAAGTTGTCCCACAGCAAGTCATCCATAGTTGGCTGCAACGAGTTGGGTGTGGCAAGTTGTCCCATTCAGAGCTCAGTGATTCATCCAGTGAGGATGTTTTGCAAAAGATGGAAGCCACCCTTACTGGCTGGGGTTCTGTCTTAATCAGGTGGCATTTGGGAGACTGCAGGCCTCTCCTGGGTCTTGCTAGGCTTTGGGGAAGCCATTCCCCAAAGCAGCTCTTTAGACAAGCTTCCCAAAACCTTTGCATTACTCTCTCTCTCTCTCTCCACATTTTCTATAAAATATCAGTTTAATTCTCTAATTTTAATTTTAGGTCAGATATAATCTATCATAACTGATATGAACAGCACTGTGAGAGAAGATCTTTACAAAGCATTGAATGACCTCCTTGAGAATGAATTTGAAGAATTTAAATGGTGGCTAAGATGTATTGACCACAATGAAAAGCCAAACATTCCGCCAGCTTCATTGGAGAAAGCTAATCGACAAGAAGTTGTAGATCTTCTGATTAAAAATTATGAAGAAGATGCTCCAGAGGTGTGCATTCGTGTCCTTCAAAAAAGCAATATAAATAATGTTGCTAAAAAACTTGAAGAAACATTACAGACAGGTAAGAAAATCCAACATATTACAGAAACGTTCTCTCATGTAACATCAACTGGGAATAAACACCAGTTGTGATTTGGGGAGCTGACTCCTGCTGAATCGTGTTCAACTAATTCATTGATGTTGACCAGGATTAGCAGTGGGTCCCTGGGATTTCAGAGAGGAGTTTTCCTTCAAGTCTGAGATTCCTTTTAGTCTTGGACCTGCTTTGCATCTGCTCTGTCACTCAGTTTGGCACTCTCCTATCACTGAGAAAAGAGAAAAGAAAAGAAAGGAAGAAAAATGTTAAGTCAAGTTCAACCAAACAGTTCATTGATCTAAAATAAAGAATATACTTAAAGGTTTTATTTATTTATCAAATTTTTAAAATGATTCCTCTTCCTAAAAGGAAGGGATGGTGTACACATAAAACAATATTAAAATGTAAACATTTGATAAATAAAATTTACAATCTAAAAAGGCAAGAATGGATTAAAAATTACTATCAAAAATTAATTAAAAGGCATGGAGATGGCTTTCAGGGTGCTGACCACTCTATAGAGGCATGCTCTTCTATACGTCCCAAGGAAGACCGCAGAGCCATGCTTTTATACGTTTCCGATAGGCCAGGAGAGGAGGGGCAGCACATGGTGGGGGCAATGGCAGAGAAGGTGCTCTACGTGGACACCACCAGTGGGAATTTTTAGCTGATGGAGTCCACAACATACATTCTCTGCATGACAAGATGAGATGTGCTGAAGTAATGGGATTAAGATGGCTCTGTAGGTAACTTGGGCCATGACCAATACCTTGAATTGGACCCAGAAGCAGACTGGCATTCTATGAAACTGTGTTGTTCCACTCACACATGAACACACCACAGTAGGCTAAAGGTGTTTATTGAACTCTTTCATCCATGCTGACCACAGCTGCTCTCACTCCCCACCTGGAGCCTCCAAGCTAACTTCTTGTATCTGGCATTCTCTCTAACCAAGCTCAGCTAGCTGCCAGCTGTAATTGCTCTGATGAGCTGGAGCCAGCTGCTCCCTGATCTGAATCTCCAACAGGCCCCTGGCTCACTGGCCTGTCTTCCCTGGAGGTGCCAGGGACCAGCTCATCCTCTTCTTCCAAACTAGCATCTGTAGAGGAGAATGGAGACATGTCCATTACAGAAACTCATGCAGCAAAAGTGTTACATGATTGCCCATGAGGCCATATTCCATACCAATGAAGCAGCTCCCCATTCAAAGGTAGCCCCATGTAAAGTGCATTGCAATAGTTCAAATGGGAGATGATCAGGGCATAAATGACTGAATGGAGATCCTCCCCATCTAGCAAAGAGCATAACTAGTGCATAATGCACAGTTGAGCAAAGGTCCACCTAGCCATGGCTGCCACATACTATTTGGACAGCAATTGTGAGTATAGGAGGACCCCCAGATTGTGCATGCTTTCTGTCTGGATAGTGCAACTCTTTCAAAAACCAAAGATGCTAAATTTCTGGATGCAGAGGGGCCCAACCACAGCCACTCTGTCTTACCGAGGTTCAGTTCAAGTCTGTTGTTCCCATTCAAGCCTCCACAGCCTCCTGGCCCCAAGGGAGAACATCCGAATCATCACTCACTTCACCTGGGATGGAGATATATAACTGGATATCATCCGTGTACTGATGATATCTCATCCCTTAGTAATGGATGATTACTCCCAGTGTTTTCATATAAATATTAAAAAGTAGCAGAGAAAGTACCAAGCCCTGCAACACCCCACAAAGAAGGGCTGTGAGATGGACCTCTCACTCCCTATTAACACTCATTGCAACCAGCCTTAGAGGAAGGAGATGAATCAGTAGAGAACTGTACCACCCACCCACCCTCAACTCCCTAAGGATACCATGATATCAAAAGCAGCCAAAAGGTCAAGAAAAGCAAGGATGGATGCATCACGTCCATCCCTGTCCCATCAGCGGTCATCCATGAATGTGACCAATGCTTTTTCTGTCTCATATCTGGGCTTAAAACCTGAGTGAAAAGGTAGAATAATCTGTTTGCTGTTTGTCACCATCTTTTCAACCATCCTCCCTAAAAAGGAAAGTTGGCAGACTGGACGGAAAGTATCCAATCAAGTAGTATATTTGAAGCTAAGGTTTGAAATGTGGGATACTTGGTGTTCTCTGAGCTCGCAACTGTTTCATTACCCAAACTAGGTAACATTATCAGTGCTAGTCAGAACAGTGTTCAGAATGGTGGGATCTACAAATGGCTTCATGAGGAGGGGACGCATCAGAGCCACAAACACCCTGACCATTAGGGATGAATTTTGCATCCATTAATCGCCCAAAGCAGAGCAGTATAATGGGTCCAGCCTCCTTGGAGAAGGGGGTAGCATAAGAGAATTTGAAAGTTACCAGGTCAGGAACTGACCATGATTCAGTCTATTTGCGTTTCCCGACATGATGCAATATTAGAATATCTTACAGGTGGTGATGCTTTGTTGCTGTTACTGAAGAGAGCAGGGTATGCAATGCTGGTTGAAGAGAATGAAGTAGGATATCATTTGCAACTATTAAGATTGTTGGACGAGCAGGCACAAAAACAGCTAGAGAAGTGATTGAAGCCTGGTAAATGGGATCCTCGTCAATAACCGGAATGCTGATTTGCCACTAGCTTATCAAGTATTCAGGAGGCGAGGACTTGGCAGCACAATCAAACAATAGCCAATGACTTAATAGCCAACCATTTACACCCCAATCAACATCTAAAAAGCCACACACAACAGGTACCATATAAATACCACACACAGAACAACCCAAAGCACAAACTCTGCTTGAGAGAAATTCCCTGAAGATGGGCTCCGGCATGAATCCGAAAGCTCAGAAGACAAAACATCTGGTCCTGATGACCTACCCAGATTGGATCCAAAGACACAGTCTCTCAGAGGAGCCTCAATAGAAAGGAAGTGAGAGCTGATTTTGGGAAAGCACAGTCACCAAATATCTGAAAACTCACGAGTACATTTCTACACTGGGGATCCCAAATCTGGTATCCAAGAAGTATTCCAGAAATAGTATTAATCCCAAGAAGAAATCCCATTTGAGCCTTGTTGCATCCTGAAGATCTGCTTTAGTTTGCCTGACGTTGTGTTGGATGGCATGAGACTGGCCTCTGTAGAAACAGCAGCGTTCTTGAAGGAGGACACAACCCACCCACCCTTGAAGAGTTGCCCAAAGATCTAGGGGGCTGCAATTTCATTAAACTATTTAGGCTAGAGAAGAAAAGGCTAAAAACATTGAATGGCTGACATGGCACCATTGAAACCCAATTTACATCCATCTGAAATATGTTAAAGAGGTCAGTTGGCTCCTAAAACTCCAGTGCCTGAAAGCAACCTATAGACAATTGGGAAAACCCAAAACAACTTTTATCTAAGTTAGGGGTTTTGCTTTGATAAAGATGGTATGCAAAACTCCACACATTTAGGATATAGTTGGAAAATAAATTGTGTATGTTGTAATACACCCATTCAACACCTGAAAGTCCCCCACAGTTGGGCAGGCAAGGTTTTCTACCTTTAACTTTCACATATGAAAAACAAACCAGGATTGAAAAGTAGAGATGAAGATGATGAAAAGAGGGGACTTTATGCAAAGACTAACAGGATGAAAAATGCTGCCGAGCCGGTAGTAGAGCTTTGAAGAGCCCTGGAGGAAATGATTACCTTAGATCCTTTCCAGTCGTGTTTCAGGCTGGGATCTAGCACTGAGATGGTCTTGATGGCACTAATGGATGGCCTCTGATGAGAGCAGAACACGGGTAGCGTGTCTGTCCTAGCCCTCCTTGATCTCTGCATGGCCTTTTACATCAGTGATCTTGATATCCTTTTGAAACGGCTTAGTATCTTAGGAGTAGATTAATAGCAGTTCTTCTTCTTCCAAAAAGAAATTTATAGAAATTCATAAGAACTGTTAGATAAGAAATCTAATATACCTTGTGAATGTAAACATCCATAATTACTATGTAACCCATGTATTTACCTATTTTTTAAAAAATGCTCTGAATTTACCTATTTTGTATAGTTTGTATTTCACTAATTCAGTCCAACTTCAGTTGCAGATGCTGATGCTCCCCAACCACCAGATTCATCAGGTAAGGCAAAAAACATTCAAAGGATCACCAAATTATTTTAAAAGCTAATTCAGCATGATCAGGTCCTCTCCTCTCCCTCCCCATCTATGCAAGAAGCTGTTGTGAATATTAATCACTCCCAAAATCCTGATGGGGAAAACTCCAGGGTGGTTCTTGCAGTGGCGGAAGGAAGGAAGGAAGGAAGGAAGGAAGGAAGGAAGGAAGGAAGGAAGGAAGGAAGGAAGGAAGGAAGGAAGGAAGGAAGGAAGGGACCCCCTATTCACCCTTTAATTTTTTCACATGCCATTGTTATTAATTTTTCAGAATATAAAATACAAAGGAAAATAATAATAATGGGAACTGGAGGAAGAGAAAAGGGAAAAAAGAGAAAGTGTGGGGTAGAAAGGGAGAAAGAGAAAAAAAAGCATTGGTTTCCAACTCTCTTTAGCACAACAGAATATAACATTACAACCTCAGCTTGACACTTTTATACAATAACATATACTAGCCATTTCTATAACAACAAACCAAAAACCAAAATCAAAGTTTTAATTTTCTATCACAAGCACAAAATCCAGAAGCGGTTTCCAAATAAAAACAAAATGAGGTATATTAATGTCTTTTGAATAAAGCAATTAATTTAACCATCTCTACTTTTTTGCTGTGGAAAATAATATATATTTCTGTTTGCACATTAATATTTATAGACTATCATACAGATTAGCAAAATTCACTATACTCGTTCAGATTCTTTAACCTGAAAGGGGGGAAAAATCTTTTCTTAACCTACGTATGTTAAAACTCTAAACTTTTGTTTAAGAATATTTGTAAAAACAAATTCTAATCCTTATTTTTTTTAACTTCATCTTAACGTAGATATTTTCAAATACACTTTCAATAATATTTTAGAAGCTTTAGGAATAACAGGCATTATATATAAAGGAAAAAAATGCATTTCCAAACCCAGTTAAAACGTTCTTTCAGTTACATATATAAATCCATCCTAACTCCAATTAACTCACTAAATTTAAGTTGCTCCTTTCAGCCAATTAATTCATTAAATTTAAGTCACTCCTTCTAGATTATCTTCCTAGAATAAAATATTTTTCTTCTCTGGAATGTCTATCAAGTAGTTACAAACTTCTTTTTCTCAATGAATTCTCAACCTTGTTAGTATCCATGAAGAAAAAGTCCAAACTTGTCCTCCTGAAAGTGACAGATTTTCTTGGAACTCTTCTTTCAGTTGTGCTGGGAGGTTTATGTTTAAACCATCATCATAATAAAGATTGGTTTCAGATTTACGTTCCAAAACTGCAATTGTGTCCTTTGCATTGTCAAAACCACTTGTGAAATTACTCATTGGTTTGGTAACTTTCTTCATATAATTGCATCTCTGAAGTGGTCTGAGTAGTTTTTATAACATGCTTTGAATATAATTGATCTATAAAGTGGAGACTTTTTTCCCCCAAAACATCTTTAGCTATTTGCCCAGCTCCATGCTCCATCTTCTTAACTCCATCTTGTGGTCAAAGGGTAGATTTTTTGTAAATCACAAGAATTGCTGGCCAATCAGAATTCAGTAAATCGAAAAGTTTTAACTACCCACAGCAAAGCAGACCAAGCTACAAATTACTTAAAAATAGTAAAATAAAACCACAACTTTCTATCCTTACGTTTTGCCATCAAAGTTTTAAAAAAGATACTCCTCACTTCCTTATTTTAGCTTGCCCTTAGCAACCCTCTTCCTTGTTTAACAATAACTAAGCTCCCAAAATGGTGCAGATCTTCTGAAAGGAATAACAGGCCATGGCTAAAGAGAGCTTCTCTTAGCTTAATAAAGATAATGCTCTCTAAAAGTGATTGAGAAGTGAAAGGGACAACTTATTGACCATTTGAAAAATAAATTCCAAAATGACTAATTTTTCAACAATGAATGATTGCAGTTGTCAGCTCACCTCTTGCTTTGAAGCACAGCTCCTTTTAAAAAAAATATATTTTTATTAATTTTCTAATTTTACATTTAGGTATTTTAAAAGCAACATGGTGGCTGGGTTAATCAATAGTTAATCAGTAACATACAAAAATCTTTAGTACAAATCTCAAACTACAGCCTCAAATATTTCCTCTCTTTTTCCCTTAATATCTACTATCTCATATTTAATCTAATATAGTTCTTATTATATCAACTAAATAAAAACATCATTATTACATTTATCAATAAATTTTTAGCTTATACATATCTTAATTACTTTTACATTCAATCTTTACATTCAATCAATGTCCTGTTATTGGGTTTTCCCAATTTTTAGTTTCCCATCAATATTCACATTTAATATTTGATATTTATGATTTCCAGGTTTTAGGTAACCAAAGTTTCCTTTATCTCAATTCATAACAAAATCTAATATTCAAAATACACATCTTATCTATTTGTGTATAATCTTATTCTATGTCCTAAAAGTTATCTATTCCCCCCATCTTACATCATCTAATTAATAATACAGTATCCCCTTTAATAAATCAAATCCGATTATATATAGTATCTAAGTTAATCAATAAATCAAACATATTCATAATATTTTCCCCTAAAATTTCCCTTATCTCAACTTCTTCCTTTGACTCTCTAATTAGTAATATGAAATCCTCTCTGATAAATCAAAACACCAACTAGCCTTCCATGTCAACGCTTTTAAATTATCAAATAGATCTCCTTCTATTATTATATATATTGTTTGGAATAAGAGAGACCATTTAGTTGGCAGTTTTTTGGAAGAACTAGCCCATTTGTATTCCTTAAATCATCTCCCTATTATTCCAAATCCCCATAATTGTTCTGGTATGTTTATCTTCCATTCAGTCTGTTCTTCTTCTTGCTCCTCAAATTTCTTCTGATTTATACAGAAAGTCTTTCCATTTTCAGTGTTGTCAGTCCCTTTTTTGGATATTCCATTGACTGTATTTGTTGGTCAATTGAGTCCTCTGTCTTAGTATTTGATTGTTCCACTTCTTCTGTTACCTTCTACGTTGTTAGTTCTTTAGTTGTAGTCAGAATTTGGGTTTGTATATCTAAGCTGACATCTTGTTCTTTTCTGTAACATCTTACTTCATCACAAGCTGAAAGGATGGTTTCATTTATTGCTTTCAACATGGAAAAAATCTTTTCCTGGTCTTCATCTATCTTCTCTTAGTGGTGCATTAAGTTGAGGAGTTTGAAATCAGATGATGAAAATAATTTTATAGCTGGGTATGGGGCCTCTATTTCATGTGTTTGTAGGTAGTCTTTATAGTAAAAGTCGTTTGTCAAGTAAGATTTTATAATCCAAGGTATTTCATCATCTCAAATAATGACCAATATTCCTCAGATGAAAAAGTAGGAAGGCAATTCCCCACATACAGCTCTAAAGATCAATAAAGGTTTACATTCATAGTTCAAGAAGGCCAGCCATGCCACCCAGAAGTTATTTTTACAGCTGAACTTCTCACAGGTGGTGTTTATCAAAGTTAAAAGAGTCTTATTTGTAGTCTGGGCTTCAAGCCAAGTCTCCTTTACGCAATAACAAGTTGTAATAACAAGCTTCGCCACAAGATGTCACCGATGCCACTTAAGGTTTTTTTAAGTGCAAAATTTTTATAGTCCTTTTTCCAATTTTATTTCTTTTTTATAGATAAAAACAAAAGTCTTCCATGAGAATAAGAAAACCTTTGGTCACCAAATTTCAAAAACATGTAAATCCAATTAAATTAAAGTTATTTTTTTAGTGCTTTAACTCCCCTGGGTAGTCAGTCACCGCTATTCTTAGAGGGTGGAATAGAAATTCCCTTCCCTCTCTCCTCACAGGGGGAAAGATACTTTGGGAGGCTTTTACAGGAAGAAAAATACTTAGGATCTTAGAGAGAAGATCAGATCTCACCCAGTTTCATCCGCGTTTCTTTAGATAGAAGTGCCTGGTGGTAAGTTTGACTTTGGCTGTCTGCAGCCTAGTGACGAGCCATATTGCTATGGCCGGTCTTTCCTCTGCCGGTTTGGAAGGCTGCCCCGGATCAAGCATCGCCCCTACAGGGTGACTTTCGACCCTTTCCAAGGTCCCCCAGTAGAATGAAACCAAACGTGGCAGATGGAGCTTGCCTTCCAGCGGCTGCGGCGGCCACAATGGCAAACTGGAAGTCTGAAGCACAGCTCCTGAAACTACTTGTAGACTGCTGCTGTATGGAGGACATTGTCAGGTGATTCTAGGACTCCCCCTAACCCAGGAGAGTCATATAAACTAAAAGGAATGCTGGTTTCATCTGTTAGTAAGTTGAAAAAAATGACAGTCCAGAGAAAACTCCTTCAGGGAGCCCCAGGGAGCCCTCCCTGGGCATATCGTCAGTTGGCCATCTTCACTGGAAATCCCCTCCCCATACATCCTTTTCAACCAGTGGTTCCCCTGGACTCTCCCTACCTGACTTGCCTGATACCTCTTATACAGCCCCAGGTGCTTTTCCTAGGAAGGAAGGAAGAAACAGAGAAGAAGGAAAGAAATAAGGAAGATTTCAATGCTCTCTGACAGCTTCCCACAGGGAAGCCTACAGGAAGTTAGAAGTTATTCCAGCCCCACTGGATTTTTTGCCCTCCCAAGATCATTCTGTTTCTTTTTTTTTTTAGATAAGGAAATATATGTATAAAATGCTGACCCAGCAGGCCACAGATGTCCAGTATTATATTACCATTATCCATTCATATTCTTTGTTACTACACAATTTGTTCTGAACTTGCAAGTAATGTGAAGTCTTTAATTCATTGGCTAATTGGGTCCATAAATGTATTTTTTCAATCTTGAATAAAAAAAAATCTCCTAGTGCTTCAAATTGCACAGAAACCATTTCTGTAGCCAGCCATCAATTTCCATGTAACAGGTAATAGTTCAAAAGAATATAGCCATATCAAAAAGTGAACACCCATCTGAAGTCAAACTGATGCACATAATGATGTCTTCTCAAAATATAATAAGTTCAGAATATTGCAAAAATTATGTTTAACTGACACAGGCTTCTCATTCCATGTCGAACAAAGTAATGACTTATTGATTCCCTTTTCTGTACAGAAGTATTATAAACCTATAAATATTATTTTATGTTGAATAAATTACAATCTGAGATGTCCCAAAGTTGCTTTTCCACAAGGCAACTGGATTTTCTTGTTTTTCCTTTGAAGATGTTTTGCTTCTCATACAAGAAGCTTCTTCAGCTCTGACTGAATAATGGAAAATGGAAAGATTTATACTTCTTGCAGACAGCTGGTCATTTGCACTCTTTTACCGAGTTGTTGAAACCACTTGGAGGTTTATCTGTATCGTCAGGGTCACCTGAGTAATGCGAATAGGTGTGTAGCCTTCTTGGAACAGTTGAAAGAACTGTGTTGTAGACTGGAGACAGATGATGTCTTATTCCTCCCCCTCTGTTGAGAGAGGGCTGTTCAATTTTGACATAGATGGCTTCTTTGACCTCTCTTTCAAACCAGCAGTCTGGACAATTATTGTTAGATTAGATCTCCATTTATTAAATTCCATTCAATTTTTAAAATTTACACAACAAATTACTTATTGGAAATTAATATTTATAAAGACTAACTGGGATTTTTAATTTTCATAAGACCAATGATCACGTCTAATCATTTATATGTCTAAAATAAGATGTCAATAGATGTTGCACCAGTGGAATGTTAAATAAAAAGATATTTATCCTTTTAAAAAAGGAAATTAAAACTAACATTATTATTCTAAAATCAGTCTAAAGTAAAAATCTCAGCATATATTCAAATCTTCCACAGAATACAGATTTTTAAAAAAATCAATTTTAAAGTCTGAATTATTGCATTGCATTAGTTTAACATGAGAAAATGGATCAAAATGTAATTTTCCACAAATAGAATACTACAATATTCAATTTGGATATAATAGTAACAAAGGCCATGTCTAAAAGGGTTATGTCTAATCTATTAATATATCTAAAAGGCTGGTAATAATCTATTATCATTTTAGATACCCGTATATACTCGAGTATAAGTCGACCCGACTATAAGCCGAGGGACCTATTTTTCCACAAAGAACTGGGAAAAAATGGTGACTTGAGTATAAGCCTAGGTTGGGAAATGAGGCAGCTACTGGTAAATGTAAAACAGCAGAGCATATCGAGCAGTTGTTTTTCAACTGAAAGCAGAATCCCGCAGGAGAAGACATTAGCAACACTTGTACGATGGAAACTGGGGCTGGGCTTAGTGTTAAGTTTGTGGCACTGTACTTACCAGTAATGAAAACAACGTGCGCAGCAGCTGCGGATCCGACCATCCTTAAGATTTAGTCCCCGAAGTATGCATAAGGTGTATAACCAGGTTGTTATGTGAAGTTGTAGTTGGATTAACATCTCACCGAACAACGTAGCGCTTTTTAGAGCAAGCAGCAGTCCCGAGGGAGCTTCCGCGCCCACCGCCTTGCAACTTTTCGCGACCGCATCAGGGCAGCAAA